ATCCAGTTGAGGAGAAACTTGTGTGTGAGTGTGAACTGGGTTGTGATCTAAGATGTGTCTTTTTCCGTGGGATGCAATCTAAACGATCAGAAAACCACTGCGTTATGTGACTGAAACTTTGCAGGCCTTGTGAAACGCTTTATCAGAATTTGTGTGAACTATTAAAGGCTTTTCACAGTTTAAAAATTATATTGTAATTCTGTCTTTTGTTCATTTATTTAGGCATTCATTCATTCATTACTATTCAAAGATCAAAAATGCCATATGTAATTACTGGTGCTTACATGATGAGGACAGTGCTTGACTTAAGTCAATGCTCAATAAATGCATAATGAATGAAAGAATGAATGAGTGATTAAATTAATTATCAGGTAACACTTTGCCTAGTTTTCTCCAGAGTTCTTCTTATAAAGCAGGTTTTCTTCTCCCTTCCCACTCCCAAGCTTCTAATTAAATAATTACCCTGGGTAGACTAAACCAAGAATACTTGGATGGACATCCCAAATTCAACCTAACAACCAAGACAGGACTTCTGCCTTTGCTGACATACTCATCACAGTGAGTACTGTGCTCTGGGTTAGGCCATACTGATTCTGGTCACATCCACGTTATTGTAGATCGCATTGGTCTGGTCCTTTCCATGACATAAGATACTCATGAAAGATAGAACCGGAAAGAATTTGGCTGATGTGGGTGAGCTTTATTCAAAGAAACTTATGTCATTGATGGTTCCCAGGTTGAAAGTAAGGTCTTCAGGAAAACGTTTCAATTCTCTATACAACCAACTTTGTGTAACTGAGCAGTTTATTGAACTACCATGTTCTCAGCCCTGGGCAAGGTGCTGCAGGAAATATAAGAAAGTATCAGAGTTACTTAAACCATGTGGTACTAATTATAAGTGAGAAAGACATTCAGACTGGGCAGAAACAAAATGAAATGGGCCAAATGGAAAAGTCTTCAAATCAAAAAGCTAGAAACATGAGACATCAAACACAGGAAGTACAATAAAAGTACTCAGGTAACATCCTCAAGCCTGAAAACTGGATTCGTATTTGCCTAACGCTTCTTCATTAGGTCCTTGTTTTGCATAGCATTTGGCAAACCGTGAACAGAATGGTCCCTGGGAATTCTCTCCAAGGACCGCAGGCCTAGCATGTTCATTCTGGCGAGTCATCTCATTGCTGCATGACTCATTGGCTTTCTGGGCTCTTTCCTCCTCGTGTCCCCCAGATCACACTTTCTCCAGAGTTGAAACGGACAGAGAGAGAAAGAATATGTCTAAGGCTTTATTAAATTATAGCATAAACAAGCCAGAGGTCAGAGTGACAACAGTTGGCTTCTAAGGGCTTTCTTGTGAAGCAGACAGCTGTCAGGAAGATTAGAAAAAAAGGAAACCTAACAGTAGAGGCAAAACTTGAAAATTTCAGAGTTAAAAAACCTATAGAAACAGACGAAAAGAAGAGAGATTTAGTCTAGAAAAGAGAAGATTAAGGGATGGATTTCATTAGGGTCAAAATGTATGAAGGAAGATTTCACAGGAACGGGAGACACCGTTCTTTTACATCTTGAGCTGAAGTTTGAATGATTGACGCTAGATCTGAAAAAGTACACGTTTATTTCTTCTTTATTTATTCAATAAATATTTATTGAGTGACTCTTATACACCATCCAGTTGTTAAATATTAAATTCTCTTTACCCCGCGGGTGTATGGCACTGACGGGGTGGGAAATTTTACGAGACATGATCTTTCTCTTCAAGCGGTTCTGTTGAATGAGGCCCTGAAGGAGACTGCATAACTGCTTCCACCAGGGGTGTTTTGGAAATGAGATAATGAGGCTGAGCATAATCACATGACCCAACTAGTCAAGCCATGAGAACACAGCTTCAATGTATCTATTACTTTCTTTTCTGAGGCTCAGCAAGGTCAAGAGAGCTGTGCAGTTGCTTCTGAGAATGGGTGTGTGCAATGATTTATTGTCTACTGAGAAACGGAAAATGAGGGCAGAATGGTTTTGTGGGAACAAATACCTTTTACCAGTTTAAGACTAGCAAAAAGTCGAGTACTTAACTTTGAGATTAAGTTTTTAAATGAGCAAGTGCTTTCCTTATTGTTTCCTCCTGAAGGCAGATATTCCCATTGTCTGCAGAGTATAGATGGAATTGTGAAATAGGATTCTGTTAGCTCACGTCTGCTAAGAGTGGTCACGGTTCCAGAGGACTCTCACCTTACCAACAGCTGCTCGGACACGCAGAAATGGTCTCTTCCCCCGGAGGGCATGAACAGCAGCCCCCTCCAAACTCAGGTCTTGACAAACCGGTACAGACTTTTCAGTTTATGAGAACTTGCCTAGAGCTAAATAAATAAATACTGCTTTTTCTACAACTGTGGATCCTCTAAGGCTAATCAATTTTCAAATTAACATGCTCCAAAATGACTAATTTGGAAACTTGGCCCTATGGGGGTGCAGGACATGCTCTAGGTACTTAGTGACTCATACGAAAGGCCAAATCTTTCCACCTTTTTATCAGACACATTTCATCAAGATGTTACCCTTTGTAGTTCAATATGGCACTCACAATCACATTATTACCCTTTAGCTACCCTACTGGAGGGCTGCAAGAATTATTACTTGGATAATTTTTTGGGGTGGCAGGATTACCAAGCATAGCCATGTGAAAATAAATTCATATTTAAAATTCTTATGTATGTATAATAATTATCCGAACACCACTGAGCTAAAATTAATGACTCTGTATTTAAAGCATGGAAGTATTTAAAATTACCTGCCTGATGACAATTTTACTTAATCACATTAGAAGTATCTCTGATTACTTCTTGTTAATTGCTACTTAGAATCTGGGAGGGAAAAATGTCTAGAAATTTCCAGGTAACAGGTTACTTAATTGCCAGCATCAAACTAGTACTCAAAATAATATTCACACCCTTGAGCCAGCCACTTAGCAATATGTACTGAGAGGTGTCTCTGGTATATGGTGTGGAGGATTGTTCTGGGTGGGGAGATTTGAGAACATCTCCACAGTCTAAAACAGCAGAGCAAGAATAAAGGCCTAGAAAGAATTGCAGCAACACCTGGGTCTGGGTAGGTATGTGTCGTGTGAATCACATACCTAAGTGCCGGGGCATCCACCCAATGCTACCACCTGACCGTGTTGTCTGTGAGATCTGGGGACCAGCAGGGTCATATTTCCATTACATGAGACCCTGGGCTTTTCTCCCTTTATCCCCTCCTATTCATCTTCAGGTTTTTATGCTTGTGTTTTGTCTGTCTCTACTCACTTGAATTTAAGCTCCATGAAAGGAGAGATTTTTCTTTATTTGTCCACGGATACGTTCCAAATGCCCATCGTACCTGGCACATAGTGCGATCTCAATAAATATTTGTTGAATGGATGAAATTAATAATTTCTACAATGGACAAAGACAAGGACATCTGTTCAGGCGAATTTACAGATTCTTTTGAAGAAAATTTCTGAATCAATATGGATGTGTGTCTGTGATATTTTTCCTTCTGCTCTTAGACTCAACTTTCCAAGCCTAAAAGGCACTGGGGTAAATCTCTTTGTAGGCACAAGAAGGACAATCTCAGGTTTCAAACTGATAGTAACAAGGGCTTGTGAAAAACAAATCTACCTTTAAAAATAAATAAAAAGGAATAAGACAAGTAAGCTGGCTGTTCTGGAGGATAACTTTGCAAATTGGTTGAAAAGTGAAAGAAAAAAAATGGAATCCCCAACACCAAGTAACCTGTCTGAGTGAGTTTTTCTTTAATAAACTAATTTTTGACTGGCTTGACTCTCTTCGTTGGAGAGGCCAGGCCAAATGAAATTCGAATTGCTTCTTCTTGGAAAAAGCAAAACAAAATCTTGGCTGCCTTCTGATGCAAACTGTCAGAGCAGATCCTAACTTCAAATCATGGAGCAATTTATAGAGAAACAACCGCCTCCCTGGAAGCACGTGCCACACGCACCTAGTCACACAACGAGCTGATGAAGCCACTCATGCATCTTTGGGAACAGACCTTGTAAACACATTTTTTCTTTCTTTCTTTTTTGTAAAGAAATTGAGCCAATATTAGCAGTAACTCTGCTAATATTGCTATTTTTTTTTCCTACTGAAAGACCTTTGAGGCCTCTATTTCATAGTCGAGTACAGGCTCTCGTATTTCCAAACAGTCCCCATTCGTATTTAATACAATTGCTATCAGTTGCAGTGCAACGACTGAGAAAGATCCATTGTGTGAACATTCTAGGTTTAACGTGGGATTTCTCGGCACTTTCTATTCTTCGTGCATCAATCTGCCTTGACGCATAGATTCCTCAGTCAAAAGGAACACAATCTAATTTCAAAATGACATAAATGGGAAATTGATGGGTGTTGCCTTGCAGGCAAAACCTCACCCAACAACTAGTCTGATCCCATGAAATGGAACCATTTGCAGAAAAATTCTCAGAATTTTAAACTCAAAGTCTCATTTCTCCCATCTTTAGCTTTTCATTCCCTTTTTAACAGTGGGTCTTGCTTTTTTTACCCGACAACACTTTTCCCTGACTTTTCTCCATCTCTGCAGCATTCCTATGGCCACCGCCAGCAAATGGTGACTGGGACGCTGCAGCTTTGCCCTTAATGCTCTGAGGTCTCCAAGGGAGGGACAACACATGCTGTCAGCGTGTGTGTAGTCCTCCGCTCTCTTCACTCAAGAACTGAGTCTTCATGGCTGCCTTTAAGGCCCTCTGGACTTCCCTGTGCATCCCAGCCGGGCATTTGGGCATTGGGCATTCGACGGGGGCAGCTGCGCTGTGTTTTCTTGATCACTGGATTCAAAATCCATCATCTGCCTGAAAGGCAATGGTGCGGCAACTCGGAAGCAGGTGATCTCACTGAGGAAGCAGGTAGCAGCCAGCAATTCACCCAATGGCTCGGTCAGTGAGTTTCCTGGTTTAATTCTTGAGTTTTAGTTAATTAGCTTTCATTTTCTCTTCACAGCAGCGTTTTAAGGAGTTCGGCTGTCCCAGCTCCCTGCTGCAGCTGCAAACTGAAAGGCAGAGAGAGATGAGAGAGAAAGTGGAACAAGAATGTATTTTGAAGAAAGATTTCTTGTGAATATATTATTCACTAATATATTTAGTCATAGGAAGAATATATTTATAAGAATTCTGAATATTTAAGCCTCTTAACAAATAGATTCTTCATGAATATATTTATAAGGAGAATAAGTTTTTAAAAAGAATTTATATGAAAAAAATATGAAGAATATATTCTCAAATATTAAGAACATATTCAAAGGAACACTTCATCTTCAAGAATATATTTGTCAGGCCTGGGAGTTGCAGAGATAAACTGAATATTCTTTAAAATGATATGAAGCAAAATGTAATGCAATCAAAACTCAGTGTTTCAAAAGAAATGAGTAAACGTGGCAAGTTGGTCATTTGCTAGGTTGTTCAGAGATGCTTCTGGATCAGGCACCTGGGTAGGCACCGGAGGAGGGTTCAGGCCAGGCCTCGCTGCAGACCCCAAGCTCTTCTCCCTTCCTCCCTGCCTCCAGCCCACTCCACAGAAGGAGACTCCACAGACAAAGCTAAGTCGACCAAGGACCAGGACGTCCAGGGGACGTTTGCAAGTCAGCCTTCAGCAAGGAAAGACGTCGCAGCTCAGAGCCCTAACCTGTTAACGAGTCAGTCTCCAGTGCTGTCGCTCTTGGAACCTGTTTAGGACGTGGGTTATACAAGGCCAGGATCTAATCCCAGACAGAGGGAGGAACAGGCCTTCAGAGCTGATTAAGGAGAGATTTTTCTTGGAATGTCTGTGGGTTGTTGGAAGTGACGGAAATTTATTTTTGCAAAAATTATCTGAAATTATAGGCATTCAAAGACTAGGGTCTCAGAAGACCTCAGTTCCCTGAGGATTCTTGCTAAAGATCTAATTTCCAGCATCATCATGTACACTTAAGATGTGTTGTACAAATGCTCATTTGAGGAACTCTTTCTAAAACCCTAGAAGTTTGTATTTCTTAAAGGCCTATGGCAATTTTTTGCTTTGTCCCTCATTATTGCAAGTGGGAATCAGGAGCAGAGGAGAGGGAGGGGCTCAGGACGGTAGCCAGGGGCAGCCAAGGCCTTGATACCGTCTGGGGCATTTCTGGGGCTGCCTGACTCCTGAGGGTAGTGCAGTCGTCTTGGCAGAGTGAAAAGTTTCAACTCCTCCTGTTTCCAGCCTGCCTGGGCGCATGGGGCGAGGGGCAGAACCTGGCTGGAGTGACAGCTGGGGCGGGAGAGCTGAGCCCAGGCAACCAGGACCCCTCCAGGGCGTCCCAGGGTCTGCCCCACATGCGCCTGGCCCCTAACATGTAGCCACATTAGGAACAGCGGCTCCTGGTGGGTCAGGCTTGATACAAACTTAAGGAGTTTGTATGTGGGAGATTCCTGGAAGAATGTTCAAGAAATAGATCGCTGTTGCTGTTATCTTCCTGAGACCTACTTAACGGCTACTATTAGGTGTCAGGCACCCTACGTGTTTTATGTAGGTTACATTCACATACATGCACACATCCTCAAAATCAAATTTAAAAACCCCTCGGGGCAGGTATTATTTTCTCATTTTATGCAGAAGTTAGACCTATTCAGGAAGCGACAGAGCTGGCATCTGGATTTGAGTCTGATGGGCTTGCCTCATTCATTGATGCAACGAGAACTCACTATGCGCCAAGTACGTGCCAGATGACATGCCACGTGCTAGGACTAAGTGATGCAATAACCCTGGGTCTTTGTCCCTACAGACCCTCTAGACCGTGCGGGGAGACAAGAAAGAGTCAGGAGCAAGGTGATGGGCAGGTATGGCTGTTGTGGGAACCTAATGGATGGTGTCAAGAAAGACTACCGAGCACAGGAAGGGGCAGTGGGGGGAAATGCCTCGGGCAGAAGGATCAGCACGTGCAAAGACAGGAGTCTCAAGAGTTCAGTGTAGGTCCAGCACAGAATGTGAAGAGAGCTCTGCCTGAGAAGGTGAGGCAGGGGCGCCGTGTGAATGCCCATAGCCCAAGGGGGCCAGCCGGCTGACAGCGCACTGTGCACCTCTCCTCTCTCCATGCTCAGTGATGTCCCCTGGGTAGAATGCACACCACAGAAACTGACAACAAGGGAGACAATTTTAGTTTCCTGCCTTGGGCAACCGCTCTAATGATGGGACCGGTCACTCAGGTAAGGAACACTAGGGTGGGGCCATCTGAGCTCCCTTTTCAAGCTTGAGGTACTTGGGTGGCAAAATGGGGATGTCCAGCAGGTGGCTAGATACCTAGCTCAAGCTATTTCTATCTGATCACACTGTCTTCTAGGAACACAACAGTTCAACCCTAAAGTGGCTTGGTATTAGCTGTCCTGTTCGGGATCCTTCTGTTGAACTGACATGCATTACATATACGAACCACAAATCTCATGTGTTACGGAGCCTACACCATGAACAATTTTGAAGTCCTTCTTAATTAGAAAATCCTCCAATTTAATCTCTAATTATCAACACCTAAATTGACTGCCCTAAGGAAGCACGCCGCAAATCCTCCCATTTGGTGGCCTTGGCCGGCTAACGCCTGCAGACCTGCCTTCATTCTTCCAGCCCGAGAAAACCCCCCGGGGCTGCGGCCCGGCACAGTTATTACAACAGGAGGGGCTGAGGCGGGGTTTTATTTTATCCGTTTATTATCATTTAAAATATGTTAAAATTTTAACATAGTGGAAGCAGGAAATTTAATCATGCACGGCAGTCTGCAAAAAAACCCAAAAAACAAACAGCAAATAAAACTCCACAGAAACAAAAATTGACATCAATAATATAATATATTAAAATTCCATTTAGGCAAGGATCTAAAGAAATGTAACATATGCACACCTCTTAGAGAAGAACTTTTCCTCTTCAGTGCCCTAAGGTTTGAGAAACTCTCCAAGCAGAATCCGCTTTCTTAAACCATAGATGCTTAACGGAACAAATGGGTACAGCCAGGTCTGAATCTCTTTCTTCTGTTCCTTTTCTCTCCCTCCAAAAAAAGATGGCACTCCGCTTCCATGGGGGCATTTGTGGCTCTTTCTGTGGGTGGAAGAGAAGAGGTGCTTGTGTTTCCAAACTGTGGGACTGACTCCACAGAAGCCGAGTCTCAGATCCGGTCACTTACACAAGACAATAAGGTCTGGCGACAAATCAGAATTGTTCAGACAAATGCTGGACACCAAGCTCCCTGTTCTAAGACCTTCCCTTTCAGTGGTGTGTCTCTGTCTGCAAGGATGGGCCCAAGGCCCGGTGTGACAGAGCTCCTGTCACATGTGCCCACAGCCCTGGGCAGGCCAGGGCGCCTGCAGGCTCTGCAGGTGGGCTCCTGGGAGCGTCTGCTCGCGGCGGCCAGTGCCCAGCTGACTGGTCTCACCCTGCTCCTGGGCACATCCCGGGAGAGCTGGAGCACTCCCGAGAAATGGTCAACAGAACAAAAAGAAGAATTAATGAGTGATGAAAAAATGTGCTTATTATTATTAGTTTTTAAAGATTCACGCTTTCCTGAGTAAAGTACACAAAAGTCTCACATGAAGTCTTCTTAAAGCACCAGGCCTCTATCGCTTAGACTCTCTGCTCCGAGGGCAAATCTGAGCCGAGCGAAAGGTGAGGCGAAAACAGGGACAATGTATTTATGACCACTTCTTCCCGAGATTCTATCACTCGAGAGTTTTATGCTTGCAGAATGAGAAGTGGCTTCTTTTAGGATGAGGGAGAAGAAGAAAGGGGTATGTGCGGGATTCTTCGGTCTGTTGGTTGCAAAGCTTCAGAGCTGAAAAGACCCCAGGGAAGATAACGATGTTCACAAACCTAACCCGCGCCTGGGCCTCCCAGTCGGCATCCCCGGATCAGTCCTCAAAATCCTTTAAACACGTAAAGCACAGACACTTTGAAAGGTCCAGATTAAATACAGATAAGACCATGGGGAGACTGAAAGTAAACCAACGCAGGCCAACTCCATTGCTGGGAGAAAGCGGTCCTGGTGCCACGGCAGCTCAGGAGGCACCCTGACCCGACTTCTTGGCCTGAGACAGCATCTTCCTCAGTGAGGCCCTGGGAGCTCCTGAACGTGAGGAGGAGGTATCAGTCCTCAGGGGGGGGCCCAGCTGGACCGTCATCACCTTGACGATGTCTGTCTGTGTCAGAAGCAGCAAGGCTTTGCCATCAGTCTGCTGCACGTAAATAAATGAACACAAACGAAAACATCCTGCCCCAAAAGCCTGTCTACTTGAGCAGCTCCCGGGCTTGGAGCCGAGGGGCACGCCCTGTGGGAGCTCCCGGGCGCAGAGCCGAGGGGCACGCCCTGGGCACCGTCCCAGGGCGGGGTGGCCTCCCTGCAGAGCTCAGGAATGACAAAGAATGACGGGCCAGCACAACTCCACTTCCCCCAGGACTCTGAAGCTCAGTTAAATTTAAAAAATGTTCACTCTGTTAAATATGAACTCAGTATACACTAACTATTCCCAGGCTAGATTTCTATTATTACATTTTAAAAATCTTGGTCTGAATTTGTATCAAGAGCCTTAAAAATAAGCTACTTTCATCCACTAAGTAAATCTCCAGGAATTTTTCCCAAGAGAACAATGTGCAACGAGTACACTCTAGTGTTATTTATAATAGTGAAATACTGAAAACAACCTATCATTTCAAAAACAGCAGAAGTCAATAATTTATATTATCACCTAGGATGGCTTATCAGGCCATCACCAACATTCACGACTCAGTGAAACACTTCACGATTTGGAAAATGTTTCATGAATCATTAAGCAACAAAACATGACACGATGATACAGAAAGATCTGTTTTGATTTGTGAAATTAGATGGACGTGACCACATGTATACATATACATAGTTAAAATATTTGATGCCTTTACACCAAATGTGAAGGGAAGTTATCTTTGGCTGGTGGAATAGCGGCTTGGTTTTTATTTTCTTTTAACTTTCCTGTACTTAAATTTTTTTCTATGATAAATACAAACTATTACAAACAAAAACGCATATGAAATAAATATTTATTTGTTAACTTTTAAAACACAATGTGGTCTGAAATGTAATGGCTTACCCAAGAGTCACGGGATGGCGAGTGGCCACCACGCAGGTCGCGTTTCCACAGTTTCTGGGGGCCCCAGCGTGATGCCCGGGGACTGTGGGCATGTCCTACCCATGTCACCTATCCACACAGACAAGATCAGAATGAGTCCTGGTTTCAGAACCAAGAAGACAGAATGAAGGGTTTTCTGTGGCAACGCCTTTCCACGAACCTAACATTGTGGTTCTGATCCTTTTAAATTAATGATACAAATCCCTTAGTGTCAATGTCCCACTGAGGAAGGAAGGATCAATGGGGATCCCAGGAGGGGGCTAAAGTTTTAAGAGTTTCAAAAAGCTTCCTGTGCATTTACGATAGATCGTCTGATGAAAAATTGTCTATTTAGAGAACAGAATATCTTCCCCATGGGGTAAAATGCATATTTCCCACAGCAGAGGAGACACTCTGCCTGCTCCCACACCCTAACCTGGGTTCAGCTCCAGCGTTTTCACGCAAAATTTGCTGGCCAAATAGCCAGTTGTCCTAAGAATAAGGTAACAATGGTGGCTCTGGTGACGATGACAACAGTTCACGTTTGTGGAGTTAGACTAACCTCTTCTATGTGTTTGATCTGCCAACGACCCTGTGAGGCGAGGAGGAACCTACAACTGTAAACCTAACGACTTCTGAGGCGACGCTGGGGCTGCCAGCAGGCCTTGCTGGCCTCCAGAGGAGACCCTCGGTCTGGATTCCCGCCATTTATTAAGCCCCTCCTTTGGGACAAGAACAGGGCTGGGCACTGTTAACACACTAATCCTGATCCTTAAAGGTCCCCTCACCTAAGTCTGTGTTTACGGAGGCTGGATAAGACAGGTTAGGCGATCTGCCCATGATGACACTCCTGGGCCTAAGTGCCAAGCTGGAGCAACTTGACCTAAAAGGGACTGTGGATAAGGGAGGTCATGGGGGTTCTAAATGCAGAGTGGCCTTATGTGTGAGGCTAGGCCGACTATGCCCAAGCTGTGCTGGGCTGAGGTGGAAGCAGGCTAACCTCACGTTTTCTTTGGCAGCTACCCAGACTGATGCCATAATGACCCTGATGCTGAGTTCCCTGGAGATACAGGGCTTGCCGGGCGCTGAGCGGTCCAGGGCCCCAAACTCAAAGAACACATCCCTGAACCATGCAGGCCCTGAACTCCCGAGAGGAAGAGTGTGTGCTGCATCCTGGAGTCTCTAGGGGTATAGTTTTCTTGGAGAGTTCTAGAGCAATGAGGGAGGCTCTGGAATCAGATGGATATGGGCCGGACTCTGACTGCCCTTTCCTTGCTATCCCCTAGTTTCTTCACGGTGAACTATCCCATAGAGTTGTTGCAAGGACTCAAGGACAACAATCGTGAAGTGCTTAGCACAGGGCCTGGCCCATGGAAAGGCCACGATAAACAAGAACCATCACTGATATCTGCACTATTATTCTGCAGCTGGTCTGGTCTCTTGTGGGCCCAGTCTCCGTGGATGTTCCAGGGCAAATGTTGAGCATTTCGAGGGAGGTTGGAAGCAGAGGCTGCATGGAAGGGTTTGGTGGCTTCTCTGCTTTCCTCCTTTAGCAGGTAACGAGCAGGGAGAGTCAGGGTGGTCCAGCTTTCACTGTGGAGTAGACAACAACCCTCTCCTCCCTGGGCGCAGGCCCAGGGTGGGATTCCTCCCTGCCCCCAGTGGAGCCTGAAGTCACAGTGCCGAGGCTTCCTGACACCCATGGGTATTAATTAGCCCATGTGTCCCAGTAGTGCATTTCTTGAGCATGCTGTATGCACCAAGCCCCACAGCGTTCTGGGCCAAAGCACAGCTAAATACAAACAAGCTAAGCCAGAGGCCGGCCCTGCTGCACCCCAGCTGCACTGCGGGGCCCTTCTTGCCCGGACCCCTTTCTCTGGCCTCCACCAACCACTCGTATTTACACTTCAGTAAATGGAAACAAAGCACTTCTGGGTGTAAAAGTGTATGTAATTTCTACATTTCCTACCTCTTTGTTGAAGCTCCCGGCATGCTCTTCGCAGCCCAGAGAGACTGTACAACCTCAGCCACCCACACTAGAGACGAAAAGCCTGATTTAAAGCATGCACCTGAAATGATGTCTTGGTTTATAGTAATTCAACATTTGAGTAAAATATACTTCAAATCCCTCACACACTTGAGATTTACATAGTAACTATCAACTTACATTAGTATTTGCCAGCTCAGAAATTAGACCAGCCCCCAGTAACTTTTCTGGTCTCTTATTTCCAGGATGACCTATACAGGGTTACAGCCATCATGATGACAATGACGGTCTCTATCTGTGTGAAGCTCCGGTACTCTGGAACCTTCTCTCCTCTGATCCTCCTGTCCATCCTGTGGGGTCAGAGAGGGCTTGTGCAAAGCAGATATCACCATGATTGTCAGAGACGAGGACATGTCCACCTGGCCATGTGGCAGACCCTGGGGCCACACCGTGTCTTCCTCAGCAGCGTCTCCCGTACCTTGCCCGGTGCCTGGCCAGCAGCAGGCACTCGAGGAATCCATGCCAAGGGAATTCCCAGGGAAACAACGATGGAGCTGAAGTTCGAAGAGCTTTAATAACTCACCCAAGGTCATGCAGGGCCAGCAAGTGCCGGGGATGGTTTTGGAGATCAGGTTTTCTGACTCCAAACCCAGAGTTCCAGAAAATCAGTCTCTTCAACTCCATTTCTCATCTTTCCCTTTTCCCCCCTCTCCATCCGCGCTTGCCCCAAATTCCTTTTAATAAGAGAAATCAGACAAAGCCTTGGCTATAAGCACAGGAAGTGGCTGAGTGTTCCCCAGTGATACCTTTGGGGAGCTGACTGAACAAATGTGATGAAGGGTAGACTCCCAACGACCAAAATGACAACGGGGCTCTGACCACTCTGGCAAGGGCTGGCGCTGCTGAAACACGGGATGAAGGCAAGGTAAGAAGCAATTATAAGCGAATCCTGGAGGTGATGTTTATAGGAGGAACTGTCTTGTTGGTTTTTTGTGTTTTCTTTATGGCTTTCTGCTTCCTGTGTTGAGTGAATCCTGTGCGTTTGCCCTTCTCCTATCCCCTATCTCTCAGGAGAAGGCCAGGGAGCTCAGGGCCTTGCACCAAATGTTCTGCAACCCAGGAGCTCTGGGAGCAGCGGCTGCCTGCAGGCCCTCCAGGAGACGTGAGCAGACCTGTCCCTCCCTATGCTCTGCAGAAGAGAACATCACAGTGCTGGCTGATTTCCACCTTACAGAGAAGCCGGGGGCAGTACCCATAAGGTGCACCCTAGGGCCTGACTCTTGGGTGTCAGGACACTTGTGGGGACCCTGAGCTCTGTCCTCACATCCTCTGTCGTCTCACAGCTGCATTGCATGTGTCTAACATGAACATTTCAGAGTGTCTTTTCAAGGGCAATCAGGGTGTGGGCGTCAAGCGCCCCTCTGATGCTGCAAGTGTATTTTATCACGAGTCATTTACAATCATCCTTCCAGAGTGTGGGATGAGGAGAATTTTAAAAATCCTCCTAAACCAGTCATCACGCTGCCATGCAATGGCAGCTGCCAGCCTAGGGGCTGGGAGGCGTTAAGGCCAGCCGGCCTGAGCGCTCAGTTCCGAGCCGCTTCACCTGAGAGCAGGTGCTCTGGCGGTCCACGCGCCCAGGAAGCCGAGTCTGTTTGCTGAGTTAACACGATTTTCTCCTTCCGAGGTGGAGGGGAGCGTGGAGCAGGAGTTCGGCATCTGCAGGCAGCCGAGGGAAGCTTTGTAATACTGATGGTCGAGTTATGGGAACTGGGGCAGGTGCTGGCAAGGGCTTACGGCATGTTTCTGGGTCTTGGGACACTGTGAGGCTTGTGTGGCCCCATCATCGCCCAGGCTATACTTCTGGCCAAGTATGTCCCAACCATGACTACGTGCAAGGCCTCTGCTGGGCACCGGGAAGGCTGAACCTGTGAGCAGGTAGAGCCTGAATTTTCAATGAGTGGTGGGAGAATAGAGGGAAAATGGTGAGGAAAGGACAGCTTTTTAATCACCATCATACACGGTCCAGTGCGCTGAAATCCAGAGGAGAGGGATAACAGCTGGGACTTCCAGAAAGCACAGACGGTAACTCAGGTGGGAACTCAAGAAAGGCACCGCAATGGAGGTGGGCGCTGAGTTGGCACTGCTGGCTGTGTGGGATTTCCGCTGGGGTGATTCTGGGCCGGTGAATAGAGAAGACCTCGGCCCAGGGCCTCCCAGGAGCAAGGCCACAAGCAGGATGCACAGTGTGCGTGTGGATGTCATCCACAGCGAAGAGTCCAGCTTGGACAGAACTGTGGAGCAGAAGGCCAGAGGTGGAAAGGGCAGGAGAGGAGGGCTGTGGCCTACAGGTGTGGGTTTGCAGAATTCAGCAGGCCCCAGAGAGCGCTGGAGTGGTGGTTCTCCCATTAGAACCACTTGGAGAGGTTTAAAAATGACTTAAGGCCAGGCTCACACCACAGAGATTCCAGACTTATCCAGCCAGATGGGGCCCAAGTGTTGGCATACATTTTTAAGCTCCCTAGTTGATTTTAATGTGCAGTTAGGGCTGAGGCCACCCGCGTGCAAGAAAGCTGGAGAGAGGCTGGGCGGCGCGTGGATCTGCAGGTCTGCGTCCGTCACTGTGTGGGGAGCACGGTGGGCCTGGCCGCTCTGCACAGGGCAGAGCCAAGAGCTGGAGGCCGAGGGGCTGCAAGATAAAACCCTGGGCATCTGCCCACAGGCTGGGCGTGGGGCAAAAGGAATCCAAGCTGAGTCCAGGAGAGACGCCTGACAGCAGGCTTCTCAGCCGGGCACCACAGACACGCCGGCCTGCCCACTCCCTGGGGGCTGTGCTGTGTGCGCAGAGCAGTTTGCAGCATCCCCGGCCTCTGCCTGCTGGGCGCCCAGAGCACGCCCCACGCCCAGCTGTGGCAACCAACATGTGTCCAGATGTTGCCCAAATCGCCGTGGTTAAGAGGCCCCGCGCTAAAGGAAGGTTCTTCTGGGATGACTCTTTCACGGGAAAAGGGCGGAATATCATAGTAGGAAAAATAAAAATAGAAAAGCGGGGCAAGGCAGTAGCTGGAAGACACACGTTTTGCTGTGCGTGACCCGGAGCTGCAGAGGCGCAGCCGTACCCGCGCCGGCCCGGGCTCCCCGGAGACGCGCTCCCACACGCATGCGCTCTAGGCGCTTCGCTCCCAGCGCGAGGGTTGTGCGATGCTTTGACGGCCGGCATAGGCTAAAGGGTCCTTTTCTGAGCAAACAAGTGAAAACAGGATCACCGTCCCCCTTCCTAGTATTGTTAGCCAAGAAATCGCTGTCCGTGTCAAAAGGAGATTGGATTTTTTAAATGGGAATAAATGTGTTAAACCGAAGAGCGAAGAGACCAGGGCTGCCCGGCACGGGCCGGCCGGCGCCCCTCTCACAGCGGGTCTGCTCTTCCACGTGCCTGCAAGTCTCTGTCTTTTTGGAAAGAGATTCTGACGCTATTTGATCCTTCTTTTTCCAAAGCAAAAAACACGTTCCACGCAATCTATTGAGGCAGACTTTGCTGGCCAGAAGTAAAAATATCCAAAGGCCTTGATGATTATTTAGTATCACTCTTCAGTATCCTTAGTATTTCTTCTCCCTAAGAATAAATTCTATTTTGAACTTTAATGGAAAGCCCATTTGGCTCCCCGTTTTGTGAATGTGAAGTGGCAGCTTTAAAGTGCCATAAAGCAGTGTCAGAAAGTTCACGGCTCACTCTCCCCGTAAGAACTTCTCTTCTTCAGGTTTGTGGTACACGTGGCGAACTAGGAAACTGCCATCCCTTGGCCTCCCCCAGGGACAGCTGTGTGGACGCGGCTGCCTTCCTGAGGCGACGGCGGCCCTGGTGGCGGGGCCCGTGGACCTGGGCCTTGGCGTGGGGAAGCTCACCTGCTGCGGAGGCTGTGCGGGGGTTGGGGGGGGGGGGTGGGGGGTGGTTCTGAGTTCTCTGCGCGCAGTGATCCCCCGCTAAAGCCCGGCTCTGTCTTGGAAGGACACTGAGTACCTTAATTTTAGGATGACACAGCAGCGTGGAAAGACTGAGAATGCTGACGTTGCGCGGCCTCTTAGAGCAGCCCGTTGCTTTGCCCGCCTGCCTCCCTGCGACCTGCTCCTCCGGGCATCCTTGCTTGCTTCCCTGAGGCTGTTGCTCCCTAGAATCTTTCCAGGTGGCGGTGTTCTTGATCTTGCTGAGCCCGTGGCTGTGTGCCTGACTGTGCCGGCTCCAAGTCCACTGGGGAGCATGTTTCCAGCCTGAGTCTCATTTTTTAACAGCGGCGTTTATTATTTGCCCTTCGTTTTAAGGGCTGCTATGCTTAGCTAGCAGTATCCTGAAGTTTTCAAAATACTCCCTCCTGTGTAAAGATTGCTTTTAAAGTGATTGCCATCTTTTAAAGTGAATGGACATTTAGGGACATTTGGTTGAGGCCAGGGTGACTTATATGTGCTGCTTTAAAGAGTAGTTTTGAATGTAAGAACTCCAAGTACCCATAAGAGCACCAAGCGCGCCTGAGTCACACCTGCGGCTGTATTGTGCCTGCCACATGTCATGTCCAGCCCTCAAGAGCCCACGGACACCGGGCAGGAGGGAACTGCACACAATTCACTTCCCCATTTAACTCACTCGTTCGCGAGACACACACTCTGCGCAAGATACTTTGCTATAAAGATGTAAAAAGATATAAAAATATTTCAGTCCCTATTCTTAAACACTTAGACTCTTCTATTTCAGAATATTTCATGACCCAGAGAAAAAAATACACTTCACACTGACCATAACTTCAGTGTGTGCCCACACCTACGCGTTTCTAACAAAGGTTTCACAGAACGATCACCTTTACTGCAGTGCAGCGCTTTCATCCAGTCTCGTCTCGTTCAAGAACCGCTAAACTGACCTTTGTAGCTGACCTGTGCTTTGAAAAACGCTTCTCGAATAGAAACAGCCACAGGGACAAAGGAGTTAAAAGCCGGTTCCCACGCTCTGGGAAATGTCTCACAGGCCCCGTGCTGCTTCCCTTCACAGCATCCGGAGCAGAGCGGGGCCTCCCTCCCAGGCCAGGACGGCAGGCAAAGGGAACGTCTTTGCGCTTCATCTTCGGCTATAGACAGATGCCCACCTTACGTCTCGCTGAACCGCACTTAACACGGGGACGTACAAGTCCATTTTCAACACGGCCTGCCCTGTCCACTGAGGTTCCCCTTCGATAAGCCCAGTGGGAACAAAGCACAAAAGAACAGCCACCCACCCCCTCCTGCTCACCCTGAACTGCCTTTTTAAATCCTCGCTGCTCTGCTCGCCATTCTTCCCGCGGCATCTGGAACAGTTGGAAACTCTGCTGTTGGTGCTCACTGGGAAGCCTCAACGGACCCCTTCTGAGAGCTGCCTTATTTTCAAAGATACAAACAGAACCATCACAAAGCCCACACTGTCAGCCCATCAGAGAGTCTTCGGTCGAACCTATTTTGGGGCTGGGAAATGTGCTACAGAGTGCGGGGACACTGAAAGAAATTTACAATACAGTCCTCGTCCTCAACAGCATCTAGTTAGGAAGACATCAGGACTAAGAGACATTAAACATCAGGGGATAACCAGAGCTGTTTTCTTTGGAGCGCACACTGGTTCTGGAAGCCTCGTGAAGCATCGTGAGCAGGGGCACTTGATGGAGACAGCCTCTCTGATGGTGCTTTTTGTAATCTAGAAAATTTCTAAGTCCTCTTCCAGCAACAGAAGGCTGAGACTTCATGTGCACCCATTACAGAGCTCAGGAACTGTGGCCTCACTTTCCTGATGCTCCCTGATGGCATCTTCAGTCTCCCTGTGGGCGGCTCTTCCTCAGGGGACCTGCCCCCTCCTCACGAGACTTGCGTGTGCACCAGCTACTTCCGCTGAATCACCCCCCAATCGCTCACTTTCGTCCAGTGCCAAACTTGACAATTGTCACATTGGAGCCCCCCCAGATTTCACATTCACTGATTAATGTTCCTACAATAGTGGTTCCTGTTCTTTCTGGATGACGGTCCCCCTTGAGAAGTTAATAAAAGCTCTGGCCCTCCTCTCAAGGAAAATGCAGACACATATTGTACACAATTTTTCCAAATCTCCTGAAGCCCAATTCCACAGCTGAGCCAGGAACCCTGCCCTCAGTCTGGCATCCGCCCTATTGCACAGAACTGTCACAGCTCGCCTCCTCTTGACACTTCTCTTTCAAGGAGCCCGGGCTTCTCCGCAGAGCGCCTCTTCCCAGTCCCTCCACCTGCACTGTCTCACTTGGTCCCCGTGCTCCATGGTCAGTGACTCTCTCTGGGCCATCACGTCCTTGGGAAGCGTTCATTCAGCACCCCCCACCCTACCCATTACTGGCACTCCCATCTCGTATTTCTGCCCTTGGGAAGAGTGCGTTCATCTTCGTGTAATCCACAGGGACCTGTCCCATAACAAATTCATCACCTTATCACTCGGCCCCACGATGGCTCCTTTCCCCAAAGTGTCGTCTCTTGTGATAGCACCACTATTTTCCGCTCTTTCAGGGGAACTCTTCATGCCTTGCAGCTCGTTATTATCATCCTAATCTAGTACTGAAGTGTGTTGTGATGAGACCATAAACAGAATCACACTGGCTCGTTCCGCTTCTCCCTCTCTGTACCCAATCTGTTTCTCTTGTGCTTTTGACTCGAAACACGCACTGAACTGGAGGGGTTCCCGCCGCCACGCCCAGTCCGGGCCCTGATTTCTCCACACAGGAGGGTGTGGGGACTTCTGGTCATCTCCCTCTCCTCACTCTTCCTCTTTTTGCAGACCTTGTTGCAGATCATTCTCGTCTTCCTGGAGCACCATCTTCAGCCAGTGACTTTCTCGTAAGAACCTAAGTTGGCTCGTGCTGCCGGCCACCTAACATGCAGGTCAGCCCTGGCCTCAGCCTGCCCAGCCTCCCACCCAGGCTGCCCCCCTGGCGCCCCAGGTCAGTGTGTGCTTGCTGAGTAAGAGATCAGCTCAGGACCTGGCTCTGACTGTGTGGCCTTCCTTGGTCTCTGGGTACCTAAATTTTCCTATCTGTAAAATTGGCAAAATAAGAGTACTTGCCTTACTATCATTATATTAGTATTGTTCACTGTCTTTATCAGTGTTAATAAAGGACACATCTTGGCTTATGTCCTACTCACTTCCACGAATCTCCTGTTTTTCCCTTCACCTAGAATGGCTTCCCTTCTTTTCTCTGCTTAGATATAGTCCACTTTTGTTTCAAAATCCAGCTCTTGATGCCCTGATCATTCAACATTCCTTCAACAAACGTTTACTGGGTTATCTCCTGAGTGCCAGGTATAGTGAGGGGTTCTCAGGGTACACACCGAGTGAGTGAAATAGGGCTCTCCTCATCTGGTGAGGGCCACACCACAAGTGCAGGCCTGGCGACAGCAGACTCAGATGAAGTGGGAACACAGAGAGGACATCTTGCCCAACCAGGAAGCTCCTGCAGGAGGCGAGCACTGGGCTGATGGTGGGGGGCTGGCGGCAGGCACAGTGGGAGGGTGTTTGAGGCAGCGGTAGCAACTGTGCAAGTATGACAAGAGCATGCAGGCCTGGGCAGCCACACTGGAAAGGCAGGTGAGGACAGCCCCGGCAGGTCTCTGCGGCGTCCGCCAGCGGAGGATGTCGTTTGGGAGAGCCAGGGATGGTTTACATCCGGCGGAAACACCCAGAGCACTTCCTTATCTATCACCTTCGCTGGTTTTCAGGACGCAGTTGCTCTGCACACAGATGCAGGTGGCTGCCTTGCTTGAGACGTCTTTCTGAGCAGGACAGTGAAAATGTGAGGGGCCAGGAGCGCAGTGACAAGTGAGGGAAGAGGGGCCGCTCTGAGTCTTATTTTACAAAAGGTGGAACTTCAGATGGATGGCTTCAAAGTCAGGAGAGGAATTCTCAGTCGAGCTCTCCATCACACACAGTGAGTGTGGCTTCAAGGGCAAAACCACACATGGCAATGATAGAAAAACGGGTTTTAATTCTTTCGGCTCCTCATGAAGCAGATGCACGCTTCGAAAGCTGATAAAGATTCCTTAGCGGGAGGTGGGGCAGACTCTGCACATTCTTTAAGAAGCAGGATCACATTTAGTCATTCCCCAAACCCCCAGGACCTTGGGAAGAGTGGACGGCAAGGTGGGCGGGCAGGCTCTGCGGGGAGAGACGCCGGCCCCTCTGCTCAGAGCGGAGGAAGGCTGGGCAGGCGGAATCCACCAGGGAGATTCTGTGAGGTGCCTGGGAGGAGGCGGAGGGAGCAGGGTCGCTCAAACCTCCACCCTTGGAGGGGCTGCTGCTCCCTGTTCCTGGTCTGAGGCTGGAAAGGACGGCTTAGACCAACACCAAGTCCGGTTGTGCAGTCAGTGCTCCGTGAACATGTTGTGACTACTTTATCTGCTGGGTTGTTTTTGAGGAAGACTGGCCCTGAGCTGACATCCGTGCCCATCTTCCTCTACTTCATACGTGGGACGCCTACCACAGCATGGCGTGCCAAGCGGTGCCATGTCCGCACCCGGGATCCGAACCAGCGAACCCCGGGCCGCCGAGAAGCGGAACGTGTGCACTTAACCGCTGCGCCACCGGGCTGGCCCCCATGTTGTGACTAATTTAATAATTTAATGCAGCTCTAATCTTGTCCTGAGAGGGCCCAGGATCTCCCTTCCTTTAAAAAAGCACTAATTAAGGCCTGACTAGTGAAAACACAACCTTTATGAAAAAGATCGTCAGTCAAAAAGTGTATTCCTTAAAAGAAAATTGTTGTAAACGTGAAATGTTTCTACAGCAATACAGTAAGCAACGAGGCTTACCTGAGCCTTATTAAAAACCAATATTGTAAGGCATGCTTATATTAGCTTCGGATCCATTTTTCCCTCTGTACAGAATCTTGTGCAATGCTGTGATCTAATTTACTTTAAAATTAAACGTAAGATTGCCCAGATTATCTGTGACTTCGGATGGACGAGGGGCAGCAGACCTGCTCCTAGTGAGGTCACGTGATCCTCCTCCGCCCCTGTGGGCCACAGTGATGGAAGCCCTGGGTGCACAGACTCTCCTGCGGGTGGGAACTCTCCCAGGGAAAATGCAGCTTAGCACAGGGGCTGCCAGGACCCAAAGCCTAGGCTAAATCTGTGGTGTGGGACCAGAGGCGTGGCACTCTGCCCAGGTGGCCCAGGGCCCATGCAGTGGAGCACAGAGATGGAGCTGGGATAAGGTTGGGAGAGGAGGACAAAACCAACCGGGCTTGCCTAATTTCCTCAAAATCATGCCTGCCTTCTCCCTCAGGTGTGGGTCTTAAATCTGATACAGTGGATTCATTGCCTAAGAGAAATTCTCAGCAGCAGGACACATTCTATCCCAGGACCTCACCTCATCCACTGTCCATCAGGCCATCTTGCCTGCCTGGATGCCAGCCACACCTGGAAGCAGCTTGCAGGGCTGCTCCCTGCCCAGGGGAAGGTCCCGGAAAGGCTGAACTGACTGGACGACAGGAAGCCTGACTGGTGCAGTGCCTGCGGTGTGTGCTCTGCAGAGTATTCTGAGAGAGAGGCAGGGTGAGCGAAGCAGGGACCGTGTGAGTTAGTGAGCATCATCTCGGTCAGCCCCTCACTGGTCCAGAGTCAGGTTAGGAAAAGTGCAGACGCAGCGCAAACCCTGGTCTTCTGGTCACGCAGCATCGCAGCCAGGCACAGCTGATACCAGCGCTCGTTTTCAAAAAAATGGTCACAAAAAAGTTATATAAGGCCCTGAAGACTGTGGCTATTTGCTAAGCAAATAATCTCTATGGGCCTCTGTTTGATGCCAATGAAGAGCTAGCTTGGCACTACCACTGGCTTCTCTCTCCCTAAATCAGAAGTTGGAGAAAGCACAGAGCCTTGCAGAATGGCTATTAAGTGGATTGGCACACTGAGCCATCTGGGATGTGCACATACGCCATGAACGATTTCTTCCAGGCAGCTGCTTTGTATATCTCCAAAGACGCGAGGAGCCCAGGTCCACATCCAGTTTCATAGGTCCCTTGGGGGGCGCTGAACATGGGATGCAGCCCAGGGCCCCGTGAGAACCTCATGGCAGCTGCTGCTGTAGCACCCAGCAAGACACAACGACCTGGCCGGGACTTGCCAAAGCAGCCGCTGCTGTGATGGGATTGCCCTGGCGCATGCGCTCTGAAACAGGCGCTGTCTTTTGAGAGCAAAAGCTCTGACCCGGCTGGCTGTGGTTCTATGACGTGAGGGGCAGTGGTTGCTGGCTTGCCCAAGAGTGGCTGCTCTCCCCCAGGAGTGACCTCGCTTCTGCCTCCCGCTTCTCCTCAGCCTTTCTGAACTAGTTCCCACCTGCGGGGGTAGCTTCACTCTTGCATCTCATCCTGGCGTTTGGAGGGAGCCGTGGATCTAAACTCCATCATTATTTTCCTTTGAATGTACAAATGCATAAGGAGCAAAAACATTATAGAGGTTTCAGAAACAATTGATGCCTTTAAAATGACATTTAAGATTCTTTCTGTACAAGTTAGCAAAATAAAGCTGTTGATATTTCAAGAGACTTTGATAAGAAAGGCCATAAAAGGGAATGTTGGAAGCCTAAAGCAAATGGCAGGTTAAGTAAGCAGTGTCCACGTAATTTAAAGTTTATGATGATGATTTGTGTTTTACTAACAGAGTCTGAAAAGCTATTGTGCAAATATTTCCACCTCAAATTAATTACAGTTTTTGGTACAAGAGGCTGACCTGCACGTCGCACGGTCACATACCCATCAGGAATCACATTCTAAACAATGAAGGAGTCCATGTGTCACTGCCCTGACTGCTGGGCACAGACACCTGCACATTTAACAATGCTTGCTGTCTACACAGATAGAGACAGCAAAATTGTGGCCTTCTCCCAAATTCTTATGCTCTAGTTGCAAGCAGCAGCAAATTTATCTCTAAATGCTCCCTGTCCAACACGGACCTTCTTAGTATGTAAATAGGTTCTCTCTCTCCATATAGTTCAGCCAACAGTATGTGTGCTCGTTCCGAAGCGTAACTTCACATCTCTTTTGAAAAGCAAGTATGTTTACAAATGCGAACGTTCTTTAATGAAGTTGTCAGGTTGGACCAGGAGCATGAAGAAAACAAGCCCTAGAAACCCAGGGTGGAAGCAACACAGGGCATGTGTGCAGACACAACCCTGCGGAAGCACCGAAGGTGTTCCTGGAAGCCAAGGGTTAAAGCTGTGTACTCTTAGGGATTAAGACCTGAGCCGAAGCTGGGCTTTATTCTGGAAAATAATCACTGCATGCATTCATCGGTTGTTTTGCTGATATAGCATGAACTTAAAAAAAAAATCCCATATGTATCTCAAACCCATGCCTTGGGTAAATCAATTATGTATAATTTGCAAAATGTATACGACTCTGAAGAAAAACAATTAATGAGTCTTATGTTTTGGAAGTACAAAGATGTCAAGTAATGGTCCTTGGATTCCTATGATTCACAAATAAAAGCTGAAGGCATTAAAAATAGGAATAAAACCCAACAACATTGTGCTCTCAAGCAAGAAAGTTTTCTGCACTGTAATTGTGGAAGCAAATTGCTGTGGGTGCTGAGGCATCCACTCTGGAAATGCACCTACGGGGGGCTTGCCAGCACTGGGGTTCCTCAGTCTACTGCTTGTCATGGTTCTGGGCTCTGGAAGACGGGGGACTTCAGTCAGTGCCAGCAGCAAGATGGCCTTAGGTTACAGCAAGAGGCGGGGAGCTCTAGCTTTGTGCTGCACCCTTGAAGCCTGGTGGGCTAATGCTGTCTATGGCTTCCGAGCACAGTTAACTGTGCCCCTGTTAAATCAAACTGCTTGTCTGAGGGAGGGGGAAGCTAGAGTTCCCGAAGGTTGGACAGGACTTGATGGGGAACAGGCTCTTCATGCCATGGGCAGTGGGGAAGGGTCTGAACCTCGCTGGGTCGCAGATCCCTCCCCCGGAGTCAAGTTCATGGGAGTATGGGGCTTGTGTCTGTCTACCAGCAATCTCAGGTTTTGGGGTGATGCTTGCCAGCACCAGTTACATGCTGAACACGAATCACATTTTTTCCTTTAAAGATTGGCACTTGAGCTGACAACTGTTGCCAATCTTCTTTTTTACTTCTTCTTCTTTTTCTCCCCAAATCCCCCCAATACATAGTTGCATATTTTAGCTGTGGGCCTTCTAGTTGAGCATGTGGGATGCCGCCTCAGCATGACAGGACGAGCGGTGCCATGTCCACACCCAGGATCCGAACCAGCAAAACCCCAAGCCGCCGGAGTGGAGCATGCGAACTTAACCACTCGGCCATGGGGCCGGCCCAACATTTTTACTGTTATCAACTTTGCATCATGAGATACAAAGCTTGAAAGTGGAGCTTTTCTGCTCAAAAAGACATCAGTTAGGTTAGGGAGGATGTTCCTGAGTAGGGAGTTTGGACAACTAGTCTGCCATCTCTAAGATGTGACTGGCGTTGACAGTACTCTCCACGGAGAGCGGGTGGGAGGGGTTGGGAGAAGCGTAAGGGCTTGGCGCCATCCCCAGCACATGCAGACTGTTCATCAAACGGGAGGTGCTACTCTACAGCGGGGTGTAAGCTGCTGGAGGTCAGGACTGACGTCCTGTCAAGGGAAGCTGCGTTATTCAAAGTTCACAAGATGCAAGACAAAGTTTCCAATAGCAACAAAAGAAAGTGTTTCCTGGTGGTGGTTTTGCCTTCTTTGTACCATTTACCAAGTCTGATTTCTTCCCAAGCTGATGCTTTGGCACTGGGATCTTCAGGTCCAGTAGAGAGGAGGCCAGGACGGGTTTGCCTCCGAGGACGGGGGCGTCGGGGAAACGCAGGGTCCGCACCAGTTGCCTGGTTGTAATCCTGGTCCCACATAGTTGCTGAATGTCCTCACAGGAGATCCTTAATTCCTGTGTATCAAGGTTTTTCATCTTTCAAATGGGGTAATCAAAGTGCTTATACCTCACTGAGCTGCTGGGATGAGAACAGCTCTGAGTACACAGGAAGTGCTCAGCACGTGTTAGACATTACATTACAGTTAGAAGACATAAAGATTTTAAGTTCTAACCCTAGTGAACATTGGGACATAGAAAATTTCCAAAGGCAGTGTGGCTAGATGTACCTAAAACCTACAAAAGATGAAATTCAAACTGAAACTCAGGATCTTCAGGAACATGTTAGAATTCCACTTCCACGCGGTCTTGGAATGTCAGGGCAGCGGTCACCAAAATCGTGTGCAGGGTCCTAGAGGAAGGAAAGGAGAGTTGGAATCCACTGGACGCTGCCAACACCGTATGGGGCATCTGTCGCCCAGGCAAACTGGTGCCGATGTGCGGCAATCACATAACACTGTGGAAACATGCTCGGCCTGCCAGCTTTGAAATTATTTGGCTCCTGACAGACTTTTAAAATGCGGGGTGATTTGCATTATTTTATATTCTGTTCATTAAATTAGACTTTTGAAAATATCCACGTAGAAATTTGCATCCATTTTTATCAAATGCGAACACACTGATTTTAACTTTTTACTAAGCCCAGCACAGCTCATGTCAATTAGATACTCACTAAATAGTTGTTGATAAATTAAAGATCACGAGCCTGTGATGAAAGTGTAGGCTGCCCTGAGAAACCATTCTCATTAAATCAAAGGATCAGATTATTCTATCTTGGAGCACTTTGAATAAACAGAGTCTTCTAGATTAGAAATGGATGTCTACCATTAGCAGAAGTCAGAAAGGCTCTTCTTAAATCGGTAACTGACATGCTTCATCCACTGGGCCCAGCACCGGTTCCCGCATCCACCTAACACAGCGGAGGGACGTGGCATGCTTCCCGCTTACGCTCCTCCCTGCAGCCATGCTTTCTGCCCAGCTCCCCTGAAAGTCAGCCAAGGACATTCAGTCTGCAAAAGAAGCCCTCCTACTGGAGGTCTTAACATTTTAATGCATCAAGATGCCTTTTTGCACCAGAAAATGAAATGCACTCCTGCCTTTGTCTCCAACGCCAATGTGTGAGTGACAACAACAGAAGCCAGCCCTACGCTTAAGATATCTTTACCTTTCCAGGAAACAGACAATACACGTATACTTGTCACCTCAGTGAGCTCCCATTTGTAGAATAGTTTGCTTGGAACAATTGGTTTGCTACTATTTTTCTCTTGTTGGCTATTTCTTTTTGGTTTTATGTCTTTTAAAAAAATAATGAAGTGTTTAATGATTTCGGTCACATGCTCCAAGATGTGGGGTGCTCTCCAGTTTCTGAGGCCAGCATGTTGAGCTGTGTCCAGCTCCAGGATCCCAGGAGGCCCTGGACTATAGGGCTGCGAGTCCATTCAGCAGCGCTCAGAGAGGAGGAAATAATTAGTTCCACCTCCAAAAACGTTGTCGTTACCTTTGTCGCAGAGGCAATACCTTGCTGGGATCCAGCTGACTCCTGAAGAAGTCTAAGTCTAATGGTAAGTGCTATCTGCTCTTGAACGTGGGAAAACCCCAGCTGGGTACAGGCCGTCTTCCCCAAGTCCAGGGCCACGGCC